AAAAGTGGAGCTCCGTAGACCCGGGAGTGACGAAGCGAGTCTGTGTTGGTAAGAGGATACGCATCCGATGTTTGCTAAACAGATAGATGGCTGCCCAGAGAAGTTATTTGCGCCTAATATCCGCACAAAGCCAACAAAGAGATCATGGCGGCGGTGTTGCAGAGGCTCACAAAATGAGTCAGTCTCTGCAAGGCTCGCTGGCTCTCGACACAGCTGAGACATAGGTATTAATATGGGAGTGGGCTTGAATCTTTTTTTCCTTTTAATAAACAGCCTGGAAATAAGTTAGAGAAGCAATTAGCAGTGTACAGCTAATAAATGTCAACATTGTGCTAAACAATAATTGAGGCAACAAACTCGCTAGTGAAAGTGGGGTGCCCTAGTTTGAAACAAACTGGCATACAATGCATGCAGACATTTCCCTCCATAAAGCCTCACAGCTAGCAACCCACCGTTATTAATGTTAGCTAATGCTACATTAGCCTGTACCACTGTTGAATCTTACAGTAACGTGCCAAGCTGCGACACGAGCTGTTAAACACTGAAAATAAAAGGGAGTTGAAATAGAACCTTAATAAATGTTACTGCTAGCTGTGCTAAAATTCAGTGTATTGCTATTAGCTTGTTAGCATGCTACATGCTAACTTCAAGTTGGTAATTACCAAAAATAGTAAGGAGTTAGCTTTAGCCTTTGGTTTTTAAAAGATTGTAACAGCATATTTTAAGTCTTTATCGTTATGTTGTCAAGTCTTAAATATCGCGAGTGCTGTATGCTTTTCAATGATTGCAGTTTGAAAAGAAACCCCCTTGTTGAAACTCGTTTATGATGTGTTAAATGAATTGTATGCTAGCATGTTAAGCTAAGCCACACCCTCTTTTAGGACATCAACAAGCTCTAAAGTTGTGGATAAGGCAAAATACCAGTGTTTCCTGTTCAGCATAGACCACTTTATCACTGTTTTTGTTGATTAGTTCTATTTTAAGCATCATGATACATATACAAATAAACAGCATCATCCTTTCTGCAGATTTTAAATGACCATGGAGGCTGGTGCAGACACACAGCAAAGTGGTGAAACAGCTGTCTCAGAATCTGAGGCCCAGCAGATCACCCTGGCCCAGGTAAACCTTATAGTCACTTTAAATTTCCATGTTACAATGTAAGTTGCATAATTACTATCTGAAGTAGTATCTGAAGTACTGAAACAAAGAGTGGGGGCTGCTGCTCAGAACTCTTTGTAACTTTGAATATAGACAGAATTTATGTGGTCTGTGGTTGCAGGCGTCCATAGCTGCAGGCCAGGTGACGTCCAGTAGTCCCACAGTCACCCTTGTGCAGTTACCCAACGGTCAGACAGTCCAAGTGCACGGTGTGATCCAAGCTGCACAGCCCTCTGTCATCCAGTCCCCACAAGTCCAGACAGTACAGGTGAGAGGAGGAAAAACAACTTTTCTGTCTGTTATTGTTTTATGGCAGCACAAAAAAACATTAATTAAGCAAATTATAATAACTTAATACTGACATGTCTGATTTAGAATTTTTAAGAATTAAAGATATTAATTTGTTTCTTCAATCATTTAATTCTATTTTCTTAATAATTACCTTTTTGTTACATATTCACAATGAAACACTCCTTGTCAATTCTTATTAAGATGTTGTATGCAATTGATTTTTTTTTTTTTTTTTGAGTCAGATGTTGAAATGAAAGTATTGTAATTTTTGTTAACTTGCAGATTTCCACCGTTGCTGAGAGTGAGGACTCTCAGGAGTCTGTTGACAGTGTGACAGATTCTCAGAAGAGAAGAGAGATCCTATCCAGACGACCTTCTTACAGGTCTGTGTGGCATGTTATCAACAAAGATGTGAATCAGTTTTGTGTTTGGAAGAGAATGACTGACACTCTTCTATTTTTATGAACTATTGTCACTTTTGAGCTAAAAGCTTAACTTGCAAACTCTTTTCCTCTGTAAAAGCCTGCTGTTTCATTGTAAATGAGTGAGGGGTTGTTTTTGATATTGAAAGAGTTTGCTGAGATTTTTCTGCTTCCATTTACAGGAAGATTCTGAATGACTTATCATCAGATGCTCCAGCAGTGCCTCGAATTGAGGAAGAGAAGTCAGAGGATGACTCAGCCCCTGCCATCACCACAGTCACCATGCCCACTCCCATCTATCAGACCAGCAGTGGCCAGTACAGTAAGTACTTTGGATTGTGATACAGGAAACTACTGTTTTTTGTTGAAACGTGTAGAATTTTCAGAAATTCCTGCTATCTAATAACACCACTTTATCATTGAAATTCTGATGTGCTTTGTGCTGAGACAAATTGAATTTACGGTGAGTTGAAAACAAAGTCTTGATAATCAGATATGGTATAATACTGAGTCAGTATTGTAATTTTTTTATATTACACCAAGGATTTTTATCTGGTAACACCCCTTTGCCAATGCCATTGAAACAAATTCTGATTGGCATTGTGTGAGCATTGAGCTGTTGGCCTGGAATACTGTGTGACATGAGGATGAGTTTGTCTTGTACACACATTAAGCCCATGTTCGATAAGAGACATCAATTGACACATTGTTTGATGTGCACAGAGATGCCTGATGATGATGATTTCCCACATGGAGACAGTTTAACAAATAGAGAATGAGTTGGTCATTGTCATAGTTGTTTAAGCTGTTCAGTATAGAAGTCATATGCCGAGTCAGTGACATCACATGTTTACCAAAGAACATTTTGAGGCTTGGATTTGTGTTGCTGTTGCCATCTTGTCCTGCAATTTTCTTGTTTGGTGCACTGGATTTGCAGAGCATCAATTCGGTTAATTTTAACATGTTCCAATGTCCCTCTGTAGTTGCCATTACCCAGGGTGGGGCCATCCAGCTGGCCAATAACGGCACAGATGGAGTGCAGGGCCTGCAGACACTGACCATGGCCAACGCTGCTGCAGCCCAGCCTGGTGCCACCATCCTGCAGTACGCTCAGACCAGCGACGGGCAGCAAATTCTGGTGCCCAGCAACCAAGTGGTTGTACAAGGTGGGGAAATAATTCATGATAATGAATGAGTTCTGCAATGCAGTTTGAAACATGAAACTATATCAGTCACAACAGGAAAACATCAAACTGTGTCATGTGAATTTGTTTGAATTTTTGAATCTCTTTTGTAAAAATCACTGTCTTTGTCTGTCAGCTGCCTCTGGTGATGTCCAAGCCTATCAGATCCGCACAGCCCCCACCAGCACTATCACTCCTGGGGTGGTCATGGCGACTTCGCCTGCATTGGGCACAGCAGGAGCCACAGAGGAGGTCACACGTAAAAGGGAGGTCCGGCTTATGAAAAACAGGTATGTGTATTATAAGGTTTATTGTTGATGGTTTGGTGTTGTGAGTCTGATTTCATTATCTCTGATACCACTAATACGGTTAATGTCTAAAAATTAACCTTTAAACCATTTTTTCCCATTTAATAAATAATGGAATTCATTCGGGGATATGTGACACTGTGATGTTGTTTTTGTTTAAATGATTCTCAGCTACATAATCTTATCTACAGACACACACTCATACATGGTCTTTATGTCACACAGAGAGGCAGCCCGTGAATGTCGTAGAAAGAAGAAGGAGTACGTCAAATGTCTGGAGAACCGCGTGGCTGTGCTGGAGAACCAGAACAAAACCCTCATTGAGGAACTCAAAGCTCTCAAAGACTTGTACTGCCACAAATCTGAGTAGAAACGCCACCAACGTCTGCCAGTGGCTCGACAGGTGCCCGTCTGTCCCGTTGTACAGAGACTCAGCACAGAGCCATGCGTATGGATTCTACTCCCCCTTTTCTACTCTTTTGCTTTCTTTTTAAAGACTGCTGAAAATCTGTAAAGTGACTCAACAGGAATAGAATAAAAACACTTCCCCTCCCACTTCACCAATTTTACATCCTAATTCTGTTCCCATCAGTTTCCCATAAAAAGGGTGAGGCAGTGTAAAGAAGAACGGATGTGGTGGAGACTGCAACGATACAGGGTCCTTGTGGTGAAGTGGCAGAACAGACATTGAGGCTGTTTTTGTTTTGCACCACCAAAGGGAAGCATTCCAGTCACTGGTGCCTGGACAAACTGGGCAACATCACCAGCAACGGGGATCTGCTCCGTTTCTATCACCACTAACGACGGAACTTTTTACAGTTTAATCTCCCTGTGACACTTGGATCATCTTGAGAGGTTACCTTTGTGTGCAGCGTTTGTTATCGTAACCGAGCTCTTGCATTAACATCTGTTACTTACTAATGCTTTGAACTGTAGATGGGCTGTGTCATGGATATTTTTTATCTTTGAGCTGTGTTTTGGTTTATGTACTAGATTATCTGCTCTGAAAATGCCATTTACTTTTTGTTAACTTTAATTTTCTTGCCTTGATACAACATGAACAAAAAAGCTAACCATTAAGTAAGGTTGTAAAATTGCGTTCATGGTAATTGCAGCTCTAACAAACAAGGTGAAGAGACTGTAGAACTTGGATAGCAGTGAATTGGGAAACTATGGGTGTTCAAATTTTAAAACATCCTATCTTTTTAGCTTTTTTAGCTTTAAAGACACAGTAATGAAGACCTCAAGAAAAAAATCCCACATTTATGGAACATTTGTGATTTACCAATCTCTTAAATTGTTTTAGGGCTCTGTGATGCATGTTCCCAAACATATTACTGAGGTTCATTAATTTAGATTTTTTCCCTTTCTTCACAAAAACATCCCCAGAGTTATAAAAAGGTCAGATGAGTTTAAACAGTTTAAATGATTCACAGTGGGAGTTAACAAGGTCCTGTTATGGAATAATACGCCTCCAGTAATTGAAAAAAATGAGAATAAAACAGAAATGAGCTTTGCTCATGCACCAGAGTATATAATACAAACAAAAGAGGGTTAACCTACAGTGTTTGGGCTAAAAGTGTTTGTGTTTTTTAAAAATTTTTTGTTTCATCCATATTTTTGTATTCTGTCAGTTCATTTTTTAAAGTTTGTTTTATTAATTCCTGCAAAACCAAAAAAAAGAGCCTTACGTGTTATGCAATGGATGAATATCTGCATATTTATAAACAAATTTTGGAGACACGTCCCTTTACTGGAATCAGGGATTGCCTGGTATGTTTGTGTATTTTATTGTCTTTGAATATGTAATATCTTCACCTTTTTTATTGGGAAAGCCTAAATTAAGTCTGTTTCAGTGGAGAGAATAAATATTCTGCAGTTGGAGGTTGGTAACTGCAAATAAGAATCTGAAATACCAGGTCGCCTCTATGAAGAGGGGCCCACAGCTGTTAAGGCATCAGCAGAAGAGGCTGTCTCCAAATTCTGTTTACAGGATTACAAAGTGGCATGCGCACTTTCCTTGCATATACAATCCTACTACATTTCACATGATTTGACAGGAAAGTCTCATGCAGCACTAACAGGCAAAGCCTGCGGCTGCAAGGTGAGATGCCTCTAAGATTTTACTTGAAAGTAACACTGCTAACCAGTAATTAATCACAAAGTGTCTGAGTGTTTTGTTGCTTATTAATTACCAAGGCATAGTCACACATTAATTGTAATCAGACGTTTTTAGTTGTGTGGAGCATCAAATCTCACCAAGAACAACCCGATTGCACCTATCAAACACCCTGCAAAAGGATTGCAAAGTACGACCAAATTAAAAACACAGTGAACAAAATGGATATTTTCATGATAATGGAATGTCATACTGTATTCTTTTAGGTATTATGTATAGCCATGACATAGTATGCTTTTTTTATGTTGCTTTTCATGAATTTTGTATTCACAATTTCTAAATGTCAGCACCAACTCGTATAATTCAGTGCATTATGTCAGAGCTATTCAAATATTACATTTTTGGCAGCTGGTAATAAATGTGTTTCTGGTAATCTTTGATGATTTTAAAATGTTTTGTGTGTGTCTTATCCAAAACCAGTACATTATTCCAAAGAAGAAGGCAGTCAATGAAAGAAAACTGAGTAGTTAAGGCACTCAGTTGTCACAGATCCCTCCTGGATGGCAGTTTCCAAGCTTTATATATATGAATGTCCCTTTGTTTCTCATAGTAGACCTCTTCAACTCTGAACTTCTGCTTGAACATGATCAAAAAGTTTGTATCTCGCTCGTAGCGGATCTTGCAGGCCAGTAACACCACAGTGGTGTCTGAACACAGGTGCTCCAGAGTCTGCAGCAGTGGGACAAATGTGTCCTCCAAGTAAACGATGTCCGCTCCCAGCACCAGATCGAACCCCCCAGCCGGGTAAAGTTCAAGTCTCTCACCCCAGGTCAGTTCAGACACGATCACTGCACCCTGGGAATCTGAGGGCAGGTTGGCCTTCACATTGGCAGAGAGGAAGTCCAGGGCAGGTTCTCTGTCAGTGATGGTGACTTTTGCACCTAGGAAAGTTGAAAATCATTATGCGAATGACACATATTTATGTACATGTTTAATACCTTAAAATGTATTTTCCATTTGCCAACACTATCACATAGTAGAAATGGTTATAAATGGTTGAAACGCTCACCCAGCAGTGCTGCTACAATCCCCACCAGTCCAGTTCCTGCTCCCAATTCAATTGCCACCTTCCCCTTTAACTCCACCTGCCCCAACTCTAGGTACATGCACATGACAACTGCCTAGAAAACAGAAATAATATGTATTTAATTAAATACTTAGGAATAAATGATGAACAGTAGTAACATGCGTTGCAACCCATGTATCACTTACTGCATCCCACACAACTGCTGCAACCCCAAGCTTTTTCCAGTCCTGGGAAAGACGGAGGTTGTGGTTGGCAAAATAAAACTCTGCTGATGAATTGTGGAGTTTGGAAAGCACAGGTAACGGATTCTCTACATACGGAACGAGAGCCATGCTGTGAAATACACAGAAACTACACAATGTAATTATATATTACCGAGTGTACCTATACTCATGCGCAGTGAGGTTCTTCTTCTTCTTCGAGGCTTTAAGGCAGCTGGCTGATTTACTGATTCATTACTGCCATCTTCTGGAGTTTATTATCTCCTTTAGTGTCCATTTTTTCCTTTCCATTCCTTCCAAAGTTTATATTTTCTCCAAAATATCAAACCACTTTTCTGCTTCATCATATCAGAACTAGCTACTTTGTACTTTTATTTTACTTGTTTTAGTATTATGCATTATAAAACGTTCACAGCCCACTCTTAAATTGTAATTCCAGCCAAATCCAATCATTTAACAGCTTTGCTAAAAGTGACCAATGGGAAAACCTTGTTTTGTTGTGGGCGTGTCTACATGGGTTTTTCTCAACGGCTGCGCTTTCTCCGTAATGGAGGGGGCGGGGCTGCAGATGAAGGCCACCAGGTCTGTGAAGTTCACTATACCTGGCAACTATGTAGTTTCCGTTTTGTTTGCGTTCCTACACTCAAAATAAAACTGAGAAATTAACTGACGGGAAACTAGGCAGTTTTATTTAAAGATCACCAAGGATGAAATTAAATCAAAGTTTAACCTATAAAGATAAGCAAAAAATAAAATAAAATAAAATAAGAATAATAAATGAACAAATTAAATAAATAAATCTCTAAACAGGGAATATAATACAGACTTTCATCAATTCTTCCTTTGAAATCAGATACTCCTTACTCACTCGATACTGTCTTTTTCCCGCAGAATTGTGATTTTATCCTCTCAATTTTGACATTTTTCTGCAGCTGTTTTTAGTATTAAATATTTTCTGTGGGTTTAAAGGGTGGCTGTTGTTGTCTTATACTGCAGGTGTGGTTTGAGAAATGTGTTTATCGATTGTTCCAGCGATAAGGACTTTTAATTTGTTAGGCCATAGCCGGAAGTTACCTCTGAACTTAACGGCTGTGGTGGATTTGACATCCAAGTCGTGTCTCCTGCAAATGCGACGAGATGAGAGCTAACGTTGGCTATCTTTTTAAAATTCCAGTTTCAGCTATATTTCCGCTTCTTTAGTTGTCTCCAGAGTTTTTTCCAGTTAGTGAATTTGTATGTTAGTCTGGCAGGAAAGCCTTTAACTGTGACAGAGACTCCAACTGCAGTGAAAATGGATTGATCCATGCTGTTGAAGAAGCCAGGAATGGATTGAGGTGCGGAAGCTAGCGTTAGCCGGCTAGCCATGGAGGGAGATAGAGGAGCTTGTGACTTTGTCTTGTTGGCCTCTGTTCCGTAAAATGAGTTGATATAAGTTACTCACCGTCCAAAACTATGCAGTTCACGCATGTTATTTGTATTAATGTGCGCCAGTTCTATGCTGCGCACACGCTATGAATATGTCAGCTGTCCTGCACATACCGCAGATACCCGGTTGGCTGTCATTACATAGAGCCCATCCTACTCAGAAGCTCGATTTTTCACTCCGTAGCCAAACACACAGGCTTGACTGGTCCTTAATACACTAAACTGAAATTAGATCACTTTAAAGATTCAAATGTAGATTTTATGTGAAACCTGCTCCCACCAAACTAAAGTCAAATCTAATTAGTTTCAGATTTACTTAGATTTTACATTAATTAACTGCCACTCAAACGATTTAGATTACACTTCGCATAAGTTGCAGACTCCCTGCAGCCCAGTCAGTGTTAAGTTAGACTAGCAGGTGATCCCTCCTCAGTTGTATGGGAAACGGTGCTGGCTGTAGCAAGACTGTTGTAGGTCAACGATGGGAGGTTCGGTGTCTTGCTGCATCTCTCCTAGAGAGAGTCCCAAGATTCACAGGAGAGAGGTGGAGCTGGAGGAGTGTCCCATCACCACCACAGAGGATGTGAGTGAAGACACTGGGACCTACCTGCAGCACATCAGTGACAGGGAGCTCCCGGATGGTGAGTTTGCCTTAATGTGTGCTTTTTTTTCCCCTTTTTTTTTAAGTTAATTTGCACAATGACTCCCACTCTCCTCTCTTACCTGCAGTTTAGCACTAATTCATACTTGCATCTTACAGAACTGGCCCAAGAGGCCAACCCATCTGACCACCCCAGAGCCAGCACGCTCTTCCTGAACAAGTCGCAGACAGACGGTATCAGTATTTCTCTCTTAAGCATGTCATGATTTGATTTTTTTTTAACTCTCGTTTGGATCTCCCAGTCTAACAAAGTTTCCTCTCCTCATTTCAGTACGTGAGAAAAGGAAAAGCAACTACATGAATCATGTAAGTGACAGGTCTACATGTGCCTGATACGGTTTAGGCTCTTTTTCACCCCAATGATTTTTTCTAGTCTGTGCTCATCAGAGAGAAACACAAACAAACCCAGAAATGCTATTTTTAAAGTATGTAAGTGAGGATTTGTGCTAGAAACGCCTTAATGAAGGCAGCATTCGCATCAGTTGTTGAAGCATTTCTCCCTTCACTTTGAACTCAGCAGTGTCTGGGATTTAAAATAACATTTTTCCAGTCATGTGTGTATTTCTAAAACCTTTTTGCCACTCTTTCCATTTCAACATTATCATTGTTCCTATACCAGATGTCCCCAGGGCTCCTGACAAAAAAGTACAGTTCCTGCTCAACAATATTCATCGATGACAGCACAGTCAGCCAACCTAACCTCAAGAGCACCATCAAATGGTAAGTGACTTCACTTCAGTCTTCTGAACACCTTCACAGGTATAGTTTGGATATATAGTTTGCCGGTTTCCTTCTGGAGGCAGCGGTCATGTGACGAGGGAAGAGTTGAGACATTTATCCTTCAGTTTGCGCGATTGTCCCTAAATACTAGTTGCAACACACTTGATCTACATAGCAGTCGGTAAAACTACAGATGCAGGAAGAGGACATGATATACAAATGCACTATTGGAGCTCCTGTTTGCAAAAGAATAAAAATCACATGGAGTGGTTCATTGTTTGTCTGTGTCGATTTCTCTCTGTTCCAGCGTTGCATTGGCCATATACTATCATATAAAAAACAGGTAGGAAAAGTTTGATATATTGTCATAAATTTCACCTCTTACAGGTGTTTTTCACTGTTTTCCTTCTGTCCTGTACATAGGTTTTCAGTTAGGAAATGAAGTAAGTAAATTGAATAGGCTTTATTTTGGTTTATGAAACTGTATTGGCAGAATAGGACGTTGTTGGTGGTGGCCAGTAGTTAGTCAGTTGGTTGGTTAGTTAGTTAGTTAGTTAGGAAACAAACCATAGATAAATAGATTAGAAAGATTAGTTTCAAACTTTATTGGCATCATAGAAACTTTTTACTTATGGCCAATTGTCAGTCAGTCAGTTAGTCAGTTATTCAGTTGGTTAATTAGTTAGCAAAGTTATTTCAACCTCTTTGGCACAACTTCCAGGGGCTTTTAATCGACACAATTAATGTCACAGCGCACCAGCTAGTTCATCAGGATGTAAACTCAGTAGAAACTTTAAGTGTTAAGAGGTAGTGAGTTACTTAGCAAATCTGTGTTTGTTTAGCTCAGATTTCAGATTTTGACTCTATTAAACCCCACAGATAAGTGATGGTCATTTTGTATGGGATGAAAATGAAATAATATGCACATTTAATGTTCTCCTGCAGAGATTCAAACCGCTCTCTTGACATATTCGATGAGAAGAAGCACCCTCTATCAGTGAGTTGAGGTGTCTGATTACATAAATCTGTAATATTTACTATTCACTCCGTACTGATGGACCGATGATGATGATGATGATGATGATGATGATGATGATGATGATGATGATGATGATGATGATCCTCTGCCCGACAGCGAGAAAAGGTTCCAGATGACTACTCTGTGGTCGACCCAGAACACAAACTCATATACCGCTTCATAAGGACACTCTTCAGCTCTGCGCAGCTCACTGCTGAGTGCGCCATCGTCACTCTGGTAAGTTCTGGTAAGACACAATCTCATATCTCTATCACTATTATGTTTGTATAATGCCTGTGTGTGAACGGATGGTTGTGTTCTGTGACAGGTGTACCTAGAAAGGCTGCTGACTTACGCTGAGATGGACATCTGCCCTTGTAACTGGAAACGCATAGTTCTGGGTGCCATCCTGCTGGCCTCCAAGGTCTGGGACGACCAGGCTGTGTGGAACGTCGACTACTGCCAGATCCTCAAAGATATCACCGTGGAGGACATGTGAGTGTGATCCACTTTTGATCCATCAAATTAACTGTAACATGTTGCAGCTAAATGTTGGTAACTTTTTTCATTAAAACGTTGGATCTCCCTGACCGACTCTGTGCTTTGCTCCATGTTATACAGGAATGAGATGGAGCGTCACTTCCTGGAGCTGCTCCAGTTCAACATCAACGTCCCAGCCAGTGTCTACGCCAAGTATTACTTTGACCTGCGCTCGCTGGCTGACGACAACAACCTCAGTTTCCCACTGGAGCCACTTAGCAACAAGCGGGCCCAAAAACTGGAGGTGAATAGATCCATTCCGGCAGATGAAAGTGTCCAATAAACTAAATGTGTTGTGGCTTGGCATGTTCTGTTGCTCGGGCAGTAATAGTTTTGTGCTTATCATATTGTCTCTAGGCCATCTCCAGACTGTGTGAGGACAAGTACAAGGACCTGAGTAAATCTGCTATGAGGAGGTCTGTCAGTGCAGACAACCTGGTTGGCGTCAAGAACTCCCAGGCTGTGCTGTCTTAAGTTTGCAACAGCCATCTTAAATCTGGTGAGGAGCTGGAATAATGGGTTTAGAGTGAAGCTACAGGATGTGATGCCACGCTGAAGAAGTTCATCAAGAGACATTTCCATAGTAGATTATGTTAATATCAGTAACTATAAAGTTCAATCACAAAATGTTGAATGTCGACTTTGGGGAGGAACAAAAAAAAAAAAAAAAGAAGTTTACCATACAGTATCTCTAAAATATAATGAATCCAGTCTCTATGTGTTCATTACAAAGAACTTCAGGTATCTGCCTTTAAAGCATGGTAATTTGGTGACTGTCACGTTTTTTTTTTTGAAATTGTGGACGTCTACCTTTTGGATGGAATTAGCATGAAAATGCTTCCTGATGCTACACAAATTGAGGACATCACCTTTTTCTTTTTCTTTTTTTCAACACTCAGTCTTTTGGGGAGGATTTTCTCTGGCTTTGGCCCTCTTCTCTCTACCAGCTGTATCCCCTCCCTCCTGGTGACAAACTGTCTTGAACTATGCTGTGGTGTAGTTCTGCACATGGACAAAGAGTAGACTTTGTTTTGCTTACTATGTAGGCCCATATAGCTGTGAAATGTACGAGACTTTATTTAATTCAAAAATAAATTCCAGTCGCTGTTTAAAGTTGAGGCTGCTTAGGTGGGAAAATGTGTTGTGGTGGTTTTTGTTTGTGAGAGCTGAAAAATCTTTTTGAAGATGTTTGGAAACCCAATGGCCATGACAGTTGATCTCATTGCTTTACTATGATAGGAGATTTGCATCTATGAAGTCTTGTTTTGTTAGAAAAGTCACCTTGTTTGTTTCAAACAAAAATCGCATATACTGTGCAATATGATAATGAGCTTCTTCTAAAGAAGCAGTAAGACGTCACATTACATATTTACCTTGACATTATGCACTTATGTTAAATTTAAAAGCTAGTATTAACTGTATATCTCCAGTAACTTTTATATTAAATTTACATACATGAATGACTTATGGAGGCACCAGAACATGCCATTATTACCGCTTGCAGGAAAATGATTATTGAATCCATCAGTATAAACTCTAAAGTGATCTATCTAGTGTAGTTTGTTACTGTAATTGGACTCCAGGAAGAGCACCAGACAGATGAGTTTGATGCATTAGTGCAGTTAGTATTTTATTTAAAAATCTCATATACAGTACAATGTAAGCACCAATCTCACAATTTTTTCCCAGTACCAATTCATGTATCTCAATTCAAGGTGTCTGATAATTCCCATTCCGGATCTGATACCAGTGCTCTCTTTTTCCCCCAAATTTAAAATGAGTAGAACTCATGGGATTTAAGTCACAAGCACACCATGACTTAGTTAATGTAACTGATAGCAGAAATGCCAAATTTTTTAAAGACAACTGACAAAGAAACCGTATTTAATTTTGGATCATAATGATACTTTACATGGTGGAATCAGATCAGTGCACCCTTATTAAAAATGATCACTAAAATTAGGTCTTATCACACTTATCACACGTAATCTTTTATTTTAATTACCTTCAAAGACAATATTAAGCTCCAACATATTGCTACATTATAAGATGTGCATGAGTTTATCTTGTCTTCTCTCCCCTAATGCCTCAAAAGAAGGCAATGGGAGAAATCAGCAAAGAAAGATCTCATGTGGTCAGAAAAAACACTGCACATTGTTTCACACATGTTCTCTCAATGCAGGACAAAGTCACAGCATAAGCGGAAAGTACAGCTAGGATTCTAAATTTAGCTCAAGCAAAAGCTCAGCTTGACCCTTTCAGAACATTGCCTCAGTGAGAAACAATACTTTTCCTTGGCTTAATAATATAGAAGCAGTCATTTTTTAGAATAGCTGCCCAGCACATTCTAAAGTCATTAATCTAAGGAAACATCCATGTTGAATAGATGACGAGATATTTGCTTGTGCATCATAAACAAAGCAAATATGTAAATGGCAGTATATAGAAATAAATTGGCAAGCAGTCAGATAGTAACTATTAAATATTTTCCCTTAATTCACTCTCCTGGGATACAGTTATGACTTGAAGGAGCTGTTTGCAGTCCTGCTGCTGGCCTCATGGAGGCACTATGTGATTGATGTTCCAATCAAAAACTCCACTATAGGAGCCTCTCTGGTCAAAAATGCACACGACACCTGCAGTGTCTAATGAGCTTGCCTATTAGCCAGAAAGGAGAAGTTCAGGGCAGGTGCCACCCACACCTTTTTCAGAGTCAGGAAATAAGCAAGTTGATGAGTACAGGTGAGACTTCACAGGTGGTCCTGGTGCACTGTACTCACAGAGTGATAGGCAGTTAGGTGTTCAGATTATATCTTTGTGTAGTTCCATCCATTAGTGCTATATTGCGCAGTTACTTCTTTATGCCATGAAAAGGTTGAATTTATTATCAGCACTCAAGACATTTTGAAAAAACTGCACCTTGATTCATCTGGTAAGAGGGATGTTAAATATGTTGCTCAGTAAGGCTCTTAAACTAATCGTCTTTGATGAAACACACAGCCTTTTCTTTAATAGTTTTTTTATTAAGTTTAGGGATAGACTGATAGATGATAAAAATAACAGACAACACAGTATACATACAGTACATAATAAATAACCCTTGTCATACATTGTGTTACATTACATCAGTATGTCTTTATTGTGATACAGTTGCTATAGGCTACCAATGGATTGATTTATTTGACACAGATTTATTTGTTTTATAGATTGCACATCTCTTCTATATTAACCAGGGGGTGAAATAGTGTAGTTGTACAAAATACAATACAAACAGCATGTAACTTACTGCGTAAAAGTCAGCAATTGCTGATAATTGATTGTATGTTAAACTGTTCATATGAAATTCAAAAATGATTTTGAATTAGATTAAATTAAGAGGTTCTATTCTATTCTATTCTATTCTATTCTATTCTATTCTATTCTACTCTACCATTTCCTTTTCAGTGGTATTTCTTTTCTCCATGTCTTCTGGTAGGCTAACTACTGATTTACTGACCCCTCCTCTACACAGTTCAAGATCTTTAGGTCCTCAGAGAGAGAACAGTCTTCTACCCTTAAGTGTGAAAATGCAACATTTGCATCTGAATTCTTCAGGCAGCTCTTTCTCCAATCCATCCAACAAGACAGCAACAGGTGACCTGGACTTTTCTTTTTCAGAGAAAACTGCTCTTATGCTTTTTCTTGCATTTCTTGGCTGTGCCCTTTGTTCATCTACAGCAAATGGATTGCTATTTTTTGTGACAGTGAGATATAAGCAGCTACTGTGGCAGCCGCAGTACATTCTGCTAAAGAGTATATCTGCATGTGGTTTTGGAATAACTTTTATAACCACTTTAGTTACATTATCTGCTATAGTGTGGAAGCACACTCAAATCTATGGATGGTGGTGCATAGTGCAGTTCTGTATATTGCGTTGTTTTTTCCTGATATCCCAGATGACTTTGGCTCTCATGGCCATAGAACGCTACATTTTCATTTGTCATGGTATCCACTATCTCAGGATCATCAATAACAGCAATGTTCACATTAGTTTGGGACTCATTTGGCTGGTCAGTGTGGCAGTGAGCATTCATGGAGGCTTAGTGCTAAGCCAGATTCAGTCTGGCTTCCAGCAGCAAATCAGCAGGCTCCTGTGCAATGCTGTTACCATCAAGGAACAAATCAAGTTTTCCTGGGAAGAGGACATGCTGGCTTTCGGGCCCCCTTCTGTTATTACAACTTTTTGCATATTGGCCATCTGCTGCTGCTATGGGTGCACGTATCATGCAGCACTCAGGGTGAGCAAGGCTCTTAAGTGTAGTAACCACCGAGCCAACTGCACCGTGGGACTCTACTTTTTATTGTTTTTGCTGCAGCTGGTACCGAACATATTTTTTGTCATCCTTACAATGATGGGGGAAACAAAAACACCCTCCTGTAGGATGATTACCCCCATACTGACGCCACTACTAATAATAATACCTTCATGCATCAATGCAGCTTTCCTTCTCGTCCGGAATCCGCAGATTAAGCAACTACTCTTGTCTGCATGCCACCTGAAATGCCAGTCCTCAGTCAATACACAGGTCGAGGTGCTTCAACTGAGTAAAGAAGAGCACACATATCAGGCTGAAGACAAGTGACCGGAGGAGAGGGAGACCTTAGCAACTGCACCTCCTCCTTTACCAGGCAATGCCCCCAACCTCCAGTTCTGAGGACTGTTGATAGACACAGATGACTTACTGCTTTCAGATGTCTCCAGGTTCCTTTCAGCAGAACCAAACATTGCTCCGATGACTACAAATGTGCCATTGTGGGTCACATTTGTATCAGTGTTATGTGGCACAGTTAGCCTAATAACTGTCAAGAACTATATATATATATATATATATATATAATTATTATTATTATATATATAATATTAATATATTCAGATCTGGAGAATGGTTTATCATGACATTGGATTTTTGTTGTTTACAGCTGTGGCAACACACATTTTGTGGTTAATATGAGGTGCAATTTTTATTCCTGTAGTTATGTGAATTTTTTTTTTTTTAACACAGCTGAGTGTGTGAGATCAGCTGGTCCACTAATGATTTTTTGTAGATATTGTTATTATTAATTAATAGTTTTTTGTCACATTCAGTGAACATTTCTGATTCAGAATGTGCAACTTACAAAATACTTGGCTCCTCCTAAGGCTGTTATGACTTTGAATTCAATAGTTCCTGATGTATATAATGTTATTTGGCATTTGTTATTGTCAGTGTTACTTGCATGGGTTAATTGACATTGATAGATTTTTAGATCTCTAAATGTAGTCATCAAAGTTGTGTTGTGACTACAGGTGTTGTGATATACCAGTATTGACAATTACAGTTCTATTTAAAAAAAGAAAAAAGAATGCCTTGTGGATCTTTTGCTTATCAGTTCATCTGTAATTTTTATTTTTGTACGCTTTTGTACACCTCACTACACACATATTTCTTTCTAATCCATTTGCCATTGCAATTGTGAATTCTTTTGGCCGTGATAATCGTGTATTTTCTCAGATACTTGTATGTGATTAAACACATTTGTTGGATCTACTGTATAGTGTGAACACCTGTCCCTTTTTCCGTCACAACTTTAGAAAAGAAAAACAACACTGACATTTGCACACGCATTAACAAACAAATACCTTCACAAAATATAAACAG